TATCTTTATTGCTACAAGCAGTCTTCTTTAATGTAAGACAACCTTCAGTTTGGTCTCGTTTTTCTGAAAGTGACTGAATTACCATTTCTAGTCCACTCCATACTTCTTTCCTCTGTCAGAACTCATTTTTGGATGTTTTGGCGGGTATATGGCAATCCTATCAACCTCTTTCGCTTATGTGACCTCCATACCTGATGCAACAAATAACGAGCGGAGCAAGTCAATAGCTCGGCTTGAAGGAGCATTAGGTGCTGGAGGTGAGCTACATTTCCAGCAAGTCTGGATCTTAATATTACACTTATTTTATTTTCTTTTAGGAATTCTTGGGTTTTTGATTTCGTCACAGCTGAGAAGAATTAGTTATGTTAATACTTTTTTGCTTTTCATTGTTGTTCATATGTTTTGCTTCTTATATATAGCTCAAATGAAGAGCTACGAGATATCAGACAATAGAAAAGGCACAGCAGATCACAAGGTACGCCTTCCTATCATCACATCATTTTGGTAATTATCCGCTTCCAGTGGTTTTCTGCATTAGTAGTTTCAAGAAGAAGGAACTGCGATTTTCGTCTTCTAGTGTGCTATATCGCGTTTGGGGCTTCATATTTTGCTCTTGTTGGTAGGTTTGCCTCATACTTTACATTTTATTATTGATAAGGTTGATTAGATCGCACCATTTCAGGATCCTCCCATATTCTCTTTTTCTATTTGAAACAGCGATTTTATTGGGATGCTGAGTTCTATGGATATCTGAGAGCTCTTACACAGCTCACCTCTACAATCATGGTAGGTGCCTCTGCCATTTTTAACGTTTGAATTTGGTGCTTGCATAGTAGAGCAATCTGAACGAATCCCTTTAGGCGCTCTTCATATATCCTCTGTGCAAATCGTACGGCATTCGAGATGCTACGCTGGTACTCATCGGCCTAACTGCTCGTGGCTTGGGGCGAGCTTGGATGGCATTGGCGTGGAATGGAGCCAGCGTTTTTGGTGGTGAGCAGTAAATTAGATATGTACTCGCGCTTTTTACTTTAGAAATAAGAAGAATTTTAGCTGTTCCATTTGAGATGTTTGCGCGATTTCCAGCGACAGGTCTGCGTTCTTTGATTTCAAACAATGTGCTAGCTGAAGAGAGAGGTTAGAAGACGTGAATCAAACATGCTTTTTTTATTACCAGTGATTTTTCTTCACATGTAGCGTACAACAAAATAATAAATGTTCTTTGAGAACATTTTCTTCGAATTTACTGGTAAGATAATGTGCTATGGGGTTGATACTATTAAATTTTTATCAAAAGATTAGATTCCTCTTTCAAAAAATTGTGCTCTTAATCCTTTTTTTGCTGTTACTGGAACAGTGCAAAACAATTCTTAACATATTCAAGAACATTTGCAGGGTCTGCGTTCGCAGTAGTCGCCATTCTCGAAGGTATCTGCAAGCTGGCTGCAGCCATCATCTTCCATCTTCTCTTCCCATGGTCGATCTCGTTCATGCCGCAGCTCTCATTCGTACTAATGGCAGCGCTAATT